CACACACACACACACACGAATTAAAACGCACACACCTATAGGTGAATATCTGTGTGTGTGTTTCTGGACTGGGGACAGAGCTGCGTCTTGGCAGAGGATGTTGTTAGCTGTATACAGCCATAAAAGACAATTACCGCTATAACCTTTTATGGGGTGCAAAGCGCTGCGAGGCGAGAGGACACAAAACAAAAAAAGACATCGAGGGCTTCGACAGCTGAAGCCCAAAATAATGTAACCGACGTGTTTCTGTTCAGCTTGGATATGACAAGGCCGCTCAGCCTAAAGCTCCGTCATTAGCGCCTCATGTCCACATAACCAATTTACAACAAGAGATTTTGTAACTAAATATTGTAATATATAAAAGCATTTTGGATTTTAAAACGCAACGTGACCTCAAATAGTTTATCGAAAAAGATTTTAGAGAAGATCTCTAGTTGTAAAATATGGCCTCTGCGTTTTCAAGTCTCTGCATGTTGGAGAAAATATTTGGCGCAAAGACAGAAAATACGCAGCGAAATCTAATGTGTGCTATGTGCAAAGCTGCTGTGTCAGATGGCGAATCAGGGCCTGGGACGGTTCTGCCACACACCCCAGCTCATTTAGGTCTCATTAAGGGCTGCACAGAAACGGATACATTATTGTAGTTAGAAGGTAAGTCGGACTTTAGTCCAACTGGAGCGCTGTTGTGACGCGTTAGGGGACGCAGATGGACACAAACTTCAAAGGCTCGACCAGAGACAGTGCAATAAAACGCCTGGTCTGCTATACTGTCTGGCATTCCAGTTTTAATGGCTTTATGGCCGTCCAGACACAATTAGGCCGTTTCCAGAATGGCACCCATTTGTTTTTTCTTCTCTTTCTGTGAGACTGCGCTCTGGACAAAAGGCCGAGCGGAAATGATCAGCTTTATTGGATCCTCCCCGACGGGGACGCACAGGACTCACGGTCATTTGGAGCGATCCTTTGTTTCTACCTGGGAACCTTCCGCCCTCTGCTCCTTTGCTGTGCCCGTCCTAAAGGAGAAGGAGCAATAAAGCCAGCAGCTAGTTTCAAACACAGTGGCAGGCCTATAGATGGTGTGTTTGTTTTTGTTTTTTTCAAAATACATCTGGACAGGTCTGTTAAAAGACATCAGCACTTTGCTTGAAATCGCAATCCAAGAAACGTAACGTTACCTTTGAGCGCCATTTCTCTTACTTTTAGCTGGTATTTTATCCGGCATTGCAGCAGGAAGACAAAACGCCTGCGCACTGCTGCCTCCCCACCCTGCAGTCCCTGCATGTCACCAGAGGGTGGCGACACTGTTTCACAACATCAACCCACCGCTTTTAACACTCCTCCCTAATGAACCTGCGCTGGGGAACAAACTGTAGTAACATTTTAAGAGTCCAGCAAAATAATTTCACACCTTTTTACAGTCTCAGTGCAGAAGCTGCTTCTCCAGCCTGCGGCTTTGTGGCGAAGGATGAAACAGGCAGCTCTCAGTGATTGCTGGGTTACTGCTTTCACCCTCAGACATGGCTCTCTGTTCAGAATTTGTCCTTCTAGGATGTTTTTATATGACTTTATCGATGCAAATGATTTAAAACATTCTTTGATAGCAGGGTTATTAAGGCTATCATGAAATATGAACAGTTTTTTCTTATTGCATTTATGAATGTAGATTATGTAGATTTTAATGTTAACCTGTTACTTTCCTCTGGAAAATGTCAATAGGCAAAACACAACGGCGGATTGAGCTGCACAAATATAATCAATCGTTTTCCATATTCACAAATAATTTAACGAATTAAGGGTGTATTGATGATATCATTTTTAAAATTCTTATTATAATTCTCAATATTATTCTTATTATCATTATTATTATTAGAAGTATATTTATTGTCATTATTATTTTTAGTATTATTAGTAATAATAATAGTAATAGTAATAATAGTAGCCTACATAAATTCCGACCATTCGCTATGTTTTATCGTATTGTATTTTTTGTCGGCATGCTATCTTTAATGCTAATTTATTTAGGTAACATTGTAATGCAGTAAAAACAATGTTTGGAGGATGAATTACGAGATGGTTGTTATTATTAAATAAAACTAAAAAAACTAAAAAAAACTATTAAAGGCATTTTATTTATCTTCCTGCCAAATTCTCACCTCATAAATCCATTGTTACAGAATTCTGTGTTTCAATACACGTGGATTATTTATCATGTTATATATTGTTATGTGTCTTTGTTTTATGACACTAGACCGTATGTAAGTATTGAGTTTTAAAGCAAGATAAACTAAAACATTTTCTGTTGGAATATTTTTTTTTTAGTGATGATAATCGCTGATTAGTTAATTATTATCTATTGTAGACTATTATTGAGTGAATGTAGATTATCATTATAACCTATAGGCCTATAGGTTAAAGACATTCCACGAACATATATTCAATTTAAAAAAACAAAACTTCTAGATAGAGTATTATTTGTAAAGCAGTAGTAAAATAAGTGATATAAAACAGTGACTTTAAATTTCGTAAATTACCTCTCGATCATTGGGATTGTCTGAGTTTCTCTCGTGTGTGTTTATGTGTGTGTTTATGTGTGTGAAGTGTTAATCCCACTCTGCAGTCCTGCGCCATAATGAAATACATGTCTGCTTGCTGATTGGATGAGAGCGGCCAGGCCCGAGTCACGTGGGTGAGTTCTTTGGTCCAGAGTAAAAATGGGGTTTGGTGTAAATCTAGGGTGTATTGCTGTCATATATCACACTACCTCGTAAAAACGACACTGAGGATTCTGGGCCAACAAATCAGAGAGAAAAAATATGAGTTCTTATTATGTGGACGGTCTTCTTAGCAAATATACGGCGGGTAGTTCACTCTTTCCAAACGTGGAGCGGGCGTCTTGCAGTATTGGACCCAGTGGAGAGGACTATGGCTCGGCTCGGACTACTGCGGCCATCGCGTTTGCACCGTCCCTGTCTGGAGTTTACAGCGTCAGTGATGCAGTGTACCAGAGCCGCCCCGTGTTTACCTCGGGCTATGGCCAGGGGCAGGACGCGCACACACTGCACTGCAGCCTGTTCGACCAGAGCCGCCTGTTCACCGACAGCTGCTGCCATCCGGAGCCGGGACCCCTCACCTCACCGCCGGACAAACAATACCGGATGTATCCCTGGATGAGAGCGTCAGGTATGTGCTGATATTGTCTCTTATGTGCTATTTCAAAGCCCCTCGGGTCGATGCTTTTACAAAACATTGGGATACTTACATTGGCCGTTAGCGGTTCAATTAATTTCCTGAAGCCAGTGGCGTTGCATGGAAAGAATCGTAAAACTTTTATTGCGCAACTAATGAGTTCTGCAGCCATAAATTCATTTGGCCAGCGCTCCTGTGTGTTCAGTACGCAGAGACCTTGCCGCTGGGGGTTTTCTCTGCACTCCTATTACTCTTACAGCCTCCTCTCCCCTTTGTGGTTGTAAAAAAGACCGGCCTGTTGTGTAAATCAGTTCTCTTGCACTCTACAGCTCCTTTCTAATTGGGTCTGCACTGCAGAGGCTCTGGTATTTTCTGAAACTCGTTCGCACACATTGCTGGATCAATATGCAGCAGTATTGTCTATTACATAAAGAAGTCAAGGGGATTTAGAATACAAGCATTTAGAAACATTGGTATTTGTTATCATTTTGAAAGAGAATGTGTCTAATTACTTATGGCCCCTTCGGTGAGCAGAATATCGCTGGCTTTTAATTGGAAAGGCATGCAGAGTATCAAAGGAGGAATGAGCCAAACACCCCAGCAGGACTACTTCAAATACACACAGAGAACTTAAAAAAAAACTTCTTTCACCTAGAGATTTGATTGTGGGATGTGTGTGCGTGCGTGTGTGCATGTGTGCGTGTGTGCATGTGCATATGTGTGCGTGGGTGGGTGGGTAGGGGGTAATGTAGAAATATGAGCTATAATTAATTGCGCAATCACAAATAAAAGAATGAGTCTCACGCTGATTCCAACTACAAGTTTTTATTATCAGTACCAGTTTGAATACCATCAATTATTGCTTCATGTAGTATCATATTTCATACATGCAAGGAAAAAAAATGCATTTTCTGCAAATTATATAGAGCTAGTGCATCTTCTCTTCCACAGATCCAACCCGAAAGCGGGGGCGGCAGACCTACTCCCGGTACCAGACCCTGGAGCTTGAGAAGGAGTTCCACTTCAACCGGTACCTGACCCGCAGGAGGAGGATCGAGATAGCCCATGCCCTCTGCCTCTCAGAGAGACAGATCAAAATCTGGTTTCAGAACCGCAGGATGAAATGGAAGAAAGACCACAAGGAGGAACCGGTGTCGACCCCCTCCGGAGAAAAGGACTGTGATATCCAGCCGGTGTCAGAGGCCGAAGAGCCCAAAGCTGGTGACACCCGGAGCGCCGGTTTGGTGTCAGAAACGGCTGAAAAGTAACGAAAGAGACGGACAAGAGCATTAAATGAAAGGAACGCACTATTAAGTGTTAGGGATATACCTGAGATGTTACTCACATACCATTCATGCACTAAGAGCTTTGTAGGCTGAATAAGTGAATGACAGCTGAAGGCAATTATGTAACAAGCATTTAACAGTTGTAGGCTGTAGCTCTGTATTTCATATTTAAACCTAAAAAGCATAAAAAGGCTCCGCATGAAACAGCGATATAACTACCTATCCAAACTATATTTTTATATATGCAATATAACATGTCATTTAGCCTGACTGAACTACTGAATCAACATTCCTGAATTAAAAACTACCTAAAATGTACCTGCTAATATTAAAACACTGACACAAGGAATTCAACGCAAGTTGAAATTGACTGTAAATTGATAATCTACCTAACGGAATACATTTTCTCCACAGACGGTTGTATTTTATAAAGGGAACAAATACAGCAGTCTGCGTAAATGTGCCTTATTTGGAATAAAGGCTAATTAAAAGTGAATGTTTTGTTAGTTAAATGCTTTTAACTGTGATTTAGGTGCTTCTTTAGATTTTAATAATTGTGCCACTGTGTTTTTATTTGATTTTATTATCACTGCTTATTACTTAGAATGTTAATATGCCTGTTTTACTTATTTACCCTATATACATCCCAGGATTAATAAAAAACATTTGTTTAGTTTCGGATGAACTTATGTAACCTACCTCAGATCCCAGAAAGTCGACATGCTTATAATATTGTAAACAGGAATACTCCAACGTAAATGTTTTGAAGTCTTAGCCGTGTACTGTGAGAATTTTCTTTTACACAGATTGTCAGGCTCAAAATGTCATACGTGTTTTTAAATGCCAGCGATAAATGCATGCCCTTTTATTTAGACAGAATTTACATTTCCGTTTTTTAGTGTAAAATGAGTAAGGTATTGTAATCCAGCAAGTGCAAATACTGTGATATATTTAGGTTTAGTGCCCACGGTTTCAATGTGAATTATAAGTAATATGTGAACAAATCTTAAAGAGTCTTAAATCTCTGGGAATGTCTCATACCTGTAAATGGAAATATATAAATTGAATAAAATAGCTTTTACCTGACTATTTGTTTCCATTCAATATTTTGCCAACTTAATATTGTGCAACCACCGCAATCACAATAATAATCACAGCAATTACGCGCCGGTTGAATAATATGTTCCACTAATTGCCGTCCACTGTGGTCAATATTAGGTTGCCATGTAATGAAACAAGTTGCAGTCCATTATGAGGGTTAGGTAAACACTAGAGTTGGGGAATGTAAACTATGAGGATGCGAGATGGGGCAGGCTGCAGATGAAGGAAAATTACTGTTGAACTCTGCATTCCCTCTTCCCTCTGTAAGATGGCGCCTGACGGTGACCTGCCCGCCCCCCTCCCCTCGCCCCCTCCATTCCTTCTCAGTCTCTTCACCCCCC